TTGCATGTCTGGGATTGTTTCAGCTAATCTTTAATCTGCTGCCCACTTATATTTCCTGTTTGCAGCATGTGTTAATTGAGGAACATTGTTGGTAGTTTGGAGTATCTATGGTATAGGCTCTTCCTGTTGCCAAGTCTAAATTGAATGTTGATGAGATTGGAGATTTTTTTCATGAGGATTGGTAATGCAGCTTGATGGAGCCTGCTTAGGGTGCCGAGGGATAATTGGACTCTGCTTTGGTAATTATCAGACAACTTTAACTTTTTTTCTACATTCCTTAAGAAAATAAAAATAGTTGTTTCATTCTGAAAAAGGCAAGTTTTTTGTAAAAGGGAATTCCTACCTCTAAAAGCTGCTCAGAAAACTTGGAAGTAGTAGTTTTCTGGAGTGCTTTTTTTTTTTTTTAAATTAGAGTCCTACCTCTGGCATGGTGGCATGCATGTGATCCTAGCATTTGGGGAGTGGAAGCAGGAGGCTCAGGAGTTCAAGGTCAGTCTCTGCTACATAGTGAGTTGGAGGTTAGCCTGGGCTACATGAGACCCTGTCTTCAAAAATAATAATAATAATAATAATTCCAAGGAAGGAGGAAAGGAGAGAGTCTAGAATTTAGTATTTAGTATGAAACCATTTTTAATGTGGCATATCTTCTTTACAAACAAGGTAGATTCATTCTAGTATTAGATATCCAGGGACCCAGGTATAGATTCTCATAGTATATTTAAAGTAGTTGTACTCAGCTCAGGTTCTTTAGTACCCGAGAGGATCTGTTTCTGAAAAGCACTTAAATTTAAGAAACTTGAAAAGGTAATGCATATAAAATAGCACAGTATATAGGAAAAGATATTTCCTAATGCAAAAAAAAGCCATAAAATGAACTAATACTATTTAAGAGGTAAAATTTTAGTAGCAATAACTGTTTCGCTTGTATAGTATATTACATTTGCAAAGTTGTACAGTTGAGTAAGTGATTACTACTTGTTTGTGGGACTCTGCAATTTAACACAAAAGGAAAAGTAAGTTTTAGGTTAAAGAGCATATAAAGGGTACTTTCTTTTTTAAACTATGAATATATATGAATATATTTGCATGAAAATTAACAATTTTATATATGTTAAATGTTAAAGACCCTATTTTGTTTCTCTAGAGTTTATAGCTATTAAAATCTTTCTAACATTTAATCTAGAAACAAATGTATTTCTACAGTTCCAGTGAAATCAACATGTAGGGTTTTTGCTAAGTTGTTTATATTAACAGTAATCATTCACTTGCTATGTTGAATGGTGTATGTTTTGTGAGTTTTATTCATTGTCTTCTTGACTACATTTTTAAAAAGGAAAAGTTTGTCGTGTATATGATTAGATTATAAAAAACAAACAAAAACAAAAAAACCCTGTGCTTATGATCAAGGAAGTTAGTGTTTAAATGTAAGCAAAAAGGCCGAGCATTAATAGCCAGTCTTGGGTTATCTAACTGTCTTAATGTGTATGTAATGAAACCTGTGGCCTGTGTATGACTTTTATTTTTTTAACAAGGAGAACACAGTAAACTAGTTTCTTTCTTCATCTGAAGAGTTACACAGCTCCCATCAAGATACAATGGTGGAATTAGGATGACGGTGACTTCTCACTCCTTTTACCTCATGTCCATCTTAGCCACTTAATACCTTGATGATTCCTGAAAAGATTTGGGTCTGTGTTCCTTTGTTTTCCCAGGGAAAGAAAAAGTAAAAGATTAGCTTCACAGTTCTAAGATTCTCTAAATATTTAATTGCAAGCCTAAGGGTTGGGAAAAGGGTAAATTGAGTATTGTTTCTCTTTAAATGTTTTGTGCTGTCCATGTTAGGGACAACCAAGCAATATTAAGACAAATGCATGAAGATGAGGACATGGGTAATTCCAGCCAGTTACTTCAGAACTTACCCTTAACAGTCACATTGATGGTTTTAAATGCTAAAATATGCTACAAGATTTTGTGGTCTCAAAGTATGTGATTAATTAGCATTCATACTTACTGTTGTCTTATGTTTACTCTTTATGTCCCTGTGATATGCAAACATGGAGACCCTTAACCTTCAGCAGTTTACATTCTCATGGTGCTGTTGGTGCAAGCAAATTATTTCTAGTTTATTCAGAACATTGCTTGGCTTTTATACCATTTGAGGAGAATCCCTTGGCCAACAGTTTTAAAATGCAGAGGGCTATGCTAAATTTCAGGGCATTACTGCTTGAGTTTACGTTGTATTAGCTCTGTTCCTTAACGCCTTTTCCCCTAGAGAGCTGTTCATTAATGTGAACCAGAAAAGAGACCATTCTGCCTAAGTATCTTCACCATACCCCTATACCACCTATGCTCTTTGGTGATACAGCTCTCAATATGTGGCCAAGAACACTCCATAGAGACTGTCATCTCAGTTCTTTTTTCCCCAAGGCTTTTAAATCATTCTTTACCCTAAAGGACTAGGATTTCCAGATAAACTTTTAAAAGCTAAATAGAGGTCATAATTTTAGCCATTTTGTGTGTGATTTGTTTCCCTGTTTTGAAGCAGCATTGTAGTAGATATTGAGTGCTCAACTTCATTTCTAAGGAATTTAACTCAATTTTCTGTTGAAAATTTGCATGTATCATTGTGTTTTCCATAATTCTTCTGAATCAAGGGGTTTGCATGTTTATCAAAAACCCAGGCCTGGCTGAAAGTGTAAGCAATAGTGGCAGGCCCATAACAGATTCTAAAATGCTAATATTCTAATAATGCATGGTTGAAATTTTCCATTGTCATGTAGTTACTAGTTTTATGTATGCATTTATCAATAATGAAGCAATAGATACTTAATCCAATAAAAACAAAACAGACAAAAAAAGAACACTGGTTGTTCTTGCAGAAGACCCGGGTTCAAATCCCAGCACCCACATGGCAGCTAACAACTGTCCATAACTCCAGTCCCAGGGGATCTCACAGTCTTTTCTCACCTCCGAGGGCATTGCACAACATGGGTGCACTTACCTACATGCAGGCAATACATGCATACACGTTAAAAAAAAAAAAAAACAGATGAAAAGGACTTCAAAGGGAGCTGGATTCTCATCTACTTCTGCAATCAACCTGTTAAAATCACAGTATAGCCTCTGGGAAATTCTAGTGTACAGTTATGAAAGAATGGCGGTGGGGGCAGGCATGGTGGCACACACCTTTAATCCCAGCACTCAGGAGGCAGAGGCAAGTATATCTTTGTGAATTTGAGGCCAGCCTGGTTGGGCTACATATTTTCAGGCCAGCCAGGGCTGCATAATGAGACCCTATCTCAAAAAAAGAAAAGTGGTTTAATAATAGGTAATAATATGCCAATTTAAAAAAAGAGAATTTTACTATATTATTTGTCACATACATTACAATGACTTGTTTATGTATCTCTTCTGGGTTCAGTGGCATCAGAGCTTCAGCCCAATGCCTGCAGCCTGTAACTGTAGCTTTAGGAGTTACCCCTTAGGCACATCCACTCAGGTAGGACTGGTCTTTGGTCACAGAAAAGAATCTCAGGTTGAGTCATCCAGAAAGTAAGATTAAGTAGAGATAAAAGATAGTATATGCTTTAGATTTAAGCACTGATCTTCAGAGAAACAGTAGTTACAAGCTTCTCAAGAGAGAAAGTAGCCTTTAAATACCTTAACAATACCTAGATACATGATTTTGTGGCTATTGAAATTACATTATTCAAAGGATTTAATTCACAACCAGGTTCAAAGATTAATCAAAAAGTTTACAAATTAAGTTTAAATAATGAACCGGTTTGGGGGGCTAAGGAGATGGCTCAGAGGTTAAGAGCACTTGTTGCTCTTCCAGAGGACCTAAGTTCAATTCCCAGTAGCCACACAAAGCAGCTCACAACTACCTGTAACTCTAGCTCCTCTCCACACACACATTTATATAGTTAAAAAAAAATTAAAAAGCCAGGCGTGGTGGCACGGTCTAGACTCAACAAATTGGCCTAACACGTATCTCCAAAACATAGCACCACCACTGAGGGACAGATGACTGTGCCAGCCTTTTTTCTTCTTAGGTTTTAGGTTTAAGATGACCTTGAAGTATGGAAAGAAACTGAGCTTTAAAGTGGGCATGCTACTGTAATCGCAGTTTGGGAGGCAGAGGCAAGATGATCACTGCCAGCCAGAGTTACACAGTGAGACCTTGCCTCAAGACACGCACGCACCAGCTGCATTAGTAAGGACTGTAGCGTGGTAGAGTGCTTAGCGGTGGGTTAAATTTTCAGTGCCACACACACACTATATTTCTATGTTGTATATTTCTTAATATGTATCATATACAGACACCCTAGATTTCAGAATGTGGCCGGAGAATTTTCTTGGAAAATAAGCCCTCCAGGCGTGGGCGCCCTGCTTCAGATGCCAGGGACCAGGGTGGGGACACACCGTTCAGACATGATGGAACTCAGCATCCTCCCAGCGGTGAGATGCCTCCTTCCTTCCCACATGGGGTGTGTCTGGCGGGATGTGACTAAACTTTGGGGAGCCGGGAGGAGTACGAGGTGGACCCAAGGGCCTGGAGGGCGTGGCAAGGAAGTTACGGAGCAGCTGGGGGAGGCCCACAGGACCCAAGGGTTTGAGAACGTTGGCCGGAGCTAAAGGATTGCTGGGCAGACCGGAAAAATGGCAGGTCGGCTCAGCCCGCAACGCATCCGGTACTCTACAGCACAGCCATGCGTGGCCCACTCGGCGCGCTCGCGATCTCGCTTCATCCCAGACGCCAAGGACAAGACTGCAGGGACCGAACCCAGACAACCAAGCCCAGGCTTGTAACTACACCAACTCCCATCTCCAGCGCCCAGCATAGCGGACCAGCGGCGCACGTAGCCCGCCCAGTGCCGCCAGCGGCACGGGCGGGGCCGATGAGTTGGCCAGGGATGATTGGTTCCTCTCACTAGGGGCGTGGCCCATCAATCCCCCGCCCAGCCCCGCCCCTGCGCCGCCCTCGGTCCTGGAGGAAATAGGGCCTGCCCCCGGGCTAGGCGCGCAGGAAGGTGGGGCTGGGCCCCAGCCGGGGGCAGAGTCCGGGAGGGCCTGGCTGATGGGGAATGAAGCCTCCGCCTTCCCCCACAGAAGCCTTTAAATACGGCCGCCGGAGGGGCGAGGGGTACAGGCTGCATCTTCGGGAGCAAGGTGCTGTGCGAGTCTGCGGGAACCCAGCGGCCGCAGCCGTGTTCCGGGCTTGGAAGTGGGTAAGTGCTTTCCCCGGAGGATGTTGCCCTCCTAGTGGGATGCTCCCTACCCCGTGGGACGTGGTGGGCCGACTGGGCTGGGCGGGCGCGACGCTGCCCGCTGCCCGGCCTGTCCATCTCCCTATCCGGTTTTTCTTTCTGGGGCTCGGCGGGTACTGCGTTTTGCATCAGCAGGAGATGGCTGTAGCTGGACTTTTGATTCCAAGTCTTCCAGCCCCCTCTCTTTTTACCCACTTTCCGACTGGAAACAAACGGGATTTCCCCGCCCCTTCTGAACGCCAAATGGCCACGGGAGGAAGGGGTCCTGTCGCTGGCGGCCTCGGTGATGGCTTGCAGTCCTGTCTTTTGTTTGGGTTTAGAGTCGGCTCACCTGGGCGAGCTGCTGCTTTAGCTTAGGAAATCGAGAAGAAAGCGAAGTCCCAAAGACATTCAGTCCTGCGGTCTGTAAGGGACTCGCTCTACCTATACTCTCTCTAACTTGATGCCACTGAAGGCCTTTCTGGGGTGCTTCAGAGACCATGTTTTTCTGAGATCTTGAAAATTTTCACTATCTCTTCTAGAGAAGAGGTCGAATTTCTTACAGGTAGAAATTTCTACCTGTAGGAAGAAAATTGAGTAGGGTTGGGAAATCTGGTATATGGAAAAGAGGGTTCACTGAGGGAACTATTCGTGTCTACACAGAGGAGTAACTGTCCATCCGCTCACCTCAAAGACAGCTAGTCTTTGAGTTTTTTCAAATCTCCTAAGAAGTGGAGAACAGTGTTCTGGTCTGTTCTTAGAGGGCTTCTGGAAATGAAAGAGCTGAGTGTGACTGCTCTGAGACAGGGTCTTGAGTGCTCAGCCTCTAGACGGAGGTTTATAAACGCTAGAAAGATTTGGAAAGATCTCTCTCCCTCTCTCTCTTAAAATTTATTTACTATTTTTTATTTTATGTGTATGAGTGTATTGCTTGCATGTAGTAGGTGCACCCATGTCATGCAATGCCCGCAGAGCGTGGAGGTCAGAAGAGAGCATTGGATCCCCTGGAACTGGAGTTATGGAGTTAGCGGGCATGTGGGTGCTGGGAATCGAACCTGGATCCCCTACAAGAGCAGCCAGTGCTCTCAACCGCTTAGTCATCTCTCCAGCCCCAAGATCTCATTTTAAAAATTTTGCTGTTGTACTCCTGTCTCTGAGATTACTAGGCATGTTTCATCTTCCCTTTTAACTGTTTCCACAGCTTTGTATCATGCTCCTTAGACATAAAATTAATACTGTTTTTCTCACTAGGTAAATTTTTTTTCTTGGATCAGGTATCTTTTTGGTTTTTTGAGACAGGGCCTCAGGTGCCCTGGAACTTGCTATGCTGACCAGACTGGCCTATATCTCGCAGAGATCCACTTGCCTCTGCCTCTCAAGTGCTGTTTTTTTTTTTTTAATATTTTATTTATTATTATTTTTATGTGTATGCATGTATTGTGTGCACCCATGTCGTGCAGCGCCCACGGAGAACAGAAGAGGCTGTTGGATCCCCTGGATTTGGAGTTAGATGCCATGTGGGTGCTGGGATTGGAACCTGGGTCGTGTGCAAGAACAATCAATGTTCTTAACCTCTGAGCCATCTCTCCAGCCCCTCAAGTGCTGGTTTTAAAGGCATGCACCACCATGCCTGGGTAAAGATTAATTTTATTTTTTATTTTATGTGTGTGAGTGTTTTGCCTGCATGTATGTAAGGGTACCATGTGCATGAAAACCTATGAAGGCCAGAAAAGGGCATCTGATCCCTTGGAACTGAAGTTATTCACCACCATGTGGGTGCTGGGAATGGAACCTGGGTCCTCTGCAAGAGTAGCCAGTGCTCTTAACTACAGAGCCATCTCTCCAGCCAGCAAGGATCATCTTTTTTTTAAAAAAATATTTTATTTATTATTTTTATTTTATGTGTATATGTATATTGCCTGCATGTAGGTAAGTGCACCCATGTCGTGCAATGCCCATGGAGAACAGAAGAGGCTGTTGGAGCCCCAGGAACTGGTGTTATGGACAATTGTTAGCTACCATGTGGGTGCTGGGATTTGAACCCAGGTCTTCTACAAGAACAACCAGTGTTCTTAAACTCTGAGCCATCTCTCCAGCCCCTGGATCATGCATCTTTTAAGTTTGCTTTCCAGAAATGTCTAAAATGATGAGAGAGAGAGAGAGAGAGAGAGAGAGAGATCCCCCTTCAAACATTTCCAGTTCTATAGCATAGGTCTACCTGCCATTAGTAGCTGCTATATGGAAAGGAAGGTGAATTGCCGTTTTGAAATAAAGGCATATAAGAGTTAACTTGGGGAATGGGGATGCAGCTTGGTGGTAGGATGCTTGTCTAGATGCTTGTCGCATCTGATTGCTCATTGTAAAATATTATCAGCCCTCTTATCTAAACCTATTAAACATAAGTCTGAAACATTAGACACCCATGTACAAGTTACTTATTCAGTTAATATTTATTGAGGAACTACATACTAGGTGCTGAAGATATAGCAGTGAATAGCAGCAGGAAAGAACCATTAGCTTTGGGGTATCTTATTAAGCTATGAATTACTTAAGCCCAGGAGTTTCCATGGACATGCAATCTGTGCTTATTCTCTGAAGGTTAGCAGAATATGTCCTGGTTGAGTTTGAGGATAGAGGCTGCCTTAATAGTTCTAACTTCTTAGCTTTGGGATTAAGGAATAACTCTGAAAGATCCTCTGTACCAACATGACTGAATTTCTACCTCTTAGATAGTCTAATTAGGAAGAAAGGCAGCTCATGTCTAGGAGTCTCAAATGTGGTGGCTTTGTTCCTCATAGTCTATAGCCTGATTCAGCCTGGCAGATCTGGAAGGCCGGCCGATAGGCCCAGAGTTGATCAGGCTTTAGATGTAGATTTATGATAATCTCACATATGAAGAGACTTGAATGGATACACTACAATGGAACTTGGCTGTTACAGTGGGGGAATTTTATTGCAGGGCTTAGAATTGCTTGGTCTGTGGGGGATTGGTTCCAGGACCGTTAGAAATGTCCAAATCTGAGAATGTTCAAGACTCTTAGATAAAATGATGTAATATTTGCCTATAGCCTATGCATGTTCTCCTTGTATACTTTAAATCATCTCTAGATTACTTATAATGCCCAATATAGCTGAGCTACCTAAAGAGACCCTATCTCACAAAACAAACAACCCCAAAAAGCACACCAAAAACAACCCAAAGGTAGCCTGGTGTAGTAGTGCACGCCTTTAATTCCAGTACTTGGGAGGCACAGGCAGATGAATCTCTATGAGTTTGAAGCCAACCTGGTCTACATATTGAGTTCCAGGAAGGACATCAAGGGCTACATAGTGTACATAGTGAGACCCAGTCTCAAAAAAAAAAAAAAAAACACCTAATGTAAATAGTTATTATACTTTATCATTTAGGGAGTAAGAATAAGAAGAGGGCCACATATATTCAGTAGTGGTCCAACTTTGTTTTGTTTGGGTTTTGGGGTTTTTTTGAGACAAGGTCTCACTATTTAGGTCTGGCTGGCCTGGAACCGGTATGTAGACTAGGCTGACCTCCAATTCACAGAGATCTGCCTGCTTCTGCCTCTTGAGTGCTGGGACTAAAAGCATTTGCCACCACATCTGGCTTAAAAATATTTTTAGTCCCATAGCTAGCTGATTCTCTGGATACAGAGAGCCAACTGTATTTGCACCTTAAATCTCAGCCATTCATTGTGGTAGCATAGTTTCTGGGAATCTGAATTCATAAGGCAGAGTGGAATCAAAACAGAATCTTTGGGAAATATGCTATACAAGAATGGAAAATTCTGTTCCTGTTCCCACATCAAATACAAATATTAGGTTGGCTTATTCTTAACTCCTTTTCAGTCTCCAGGTTTATAATTCCAAAGTGTCTTTTTTTCAGACACTTTCTCCTCTCCTCTCCTCTCCTAAAATGGAGTCGATCTTAGTTATATTAATGCCTCTGATTATTGTGGTTACATTCAACTGAGTTAATTGTTACTAAATTATACCTTACAGATTGTTATGGGCTTGCTCTCCTGAGACATTCAAGAACTATTTATGATTTCTACTGCAGGAGACAATTATTATTCAGGGGAGCTTATCTCTTCCCTTCTCTGAACTAATTTCTCTGTCTTTATTCCCTTCCTCTTACCTGGAATGTTCTTTCCAGTTTTTTTCCTTCCTAACTCCTACCCATTCTTTAGGCCAGGCTCAAACTCTGCTTCCACATCGAAATGAACCTTCTCTGCTTCCTCATTTTCTTTCTTCCTATTTTTTATTTATCATTATTGTGTGTGTGTGTGTATGGGGGTGGGGTGCCACAGTGTGTGTGTGTGGAGGGCACATGCTATTGCTTAAGTGTGAAGGTCAGAGAACTTTTCAGGAGCCAGTTCTCTCCTACCTTATGTGGGTTCCAGGGACTGAACTCAGGTCATTAGGCTTGCGTGGTTTGGTTTGGACTTGGACACTCATTTTGCCTTTCAACTGATTACATTTGTCTCATTTAGCCATTTTACCTGGGTATAACTAAGTCATTTTCCTCTTTTTTTGTGTGTGTGTTTTTGAGACAGGGTCTCCCCGTAGCCCAGCTGACCTGGAACTCACTATGTAGACCAGGCTGGCCTCAACCTCACAGAGATCCATCCACCTGCCTCTGCTGGGATTAATGGTGTGTGCCACCATCCCTGGCGTCCTTTTCCTCTTTTAAATCATAAAAAGCTACCTGTTGCCGGGCGTGGTGGCACACGCCTTTAATCCCAGCACTCGGGAGGCAGAGGCAGGTGGATCTCTGTGAGTTCAAGGCCAGCCTGATCTACATAGTGAGTTCCAGGACAGCTAGGGCTACAGGGAGACCCTGTCTCAAAAACACCAAAAAAAAAAAAAAAAAAAAAAAAAAAAAAAAAAAAAAAAAAAAAAAGCTACCTGTTTCAGAGAGCCCTTCTGTTCCTTAAGGTAGCCCCTTACCCTACAGTTTCTTTTTCTTG